CTTCTTTCTCTTCCTTCCTTCTTTCTTCCTTCAGTGGAAGAGAAGTTGCCTCCAGAAGTTGTGAACGTCACAACACTGGAAGTTTTTAAGAAGACATTGGATAACCATTTGTCTGGAACGGTATAGGGTTTCCTGCCTAGGCAGGGGGTTGGACTAGAAGACCTCCAAGGTCCCTTCCAACTCTGCTATTGTATTCTAATTCATCTTAACAAATTAATCATTTATCCCAATATCTCTGCTATTCTCACTTCAACCATACTGTTCTCTTTACATAGTTCTTTATCATTTCTTATACAATTTTTACACATAGTTAACATCACTATGCACCGTGTATCTCTACATTTTTACAGTTTTTCAAGTTGTTTTATCCTATGTGTTCGTTCTAAAAAATATCTCGCAAATTGCCCTTCCCCAATCATTAACATTTCGAATTCCTTACATTATTTAGATTACATTCAAAATTAATAATATTAAGTTGTCTACTTACACATTCCCATCACTCGCTCTCATTATAACCTTCCCTCCTTCCCTTCCTCCCTCTTCCTCTCTTCATTCTTTCTTGTTCCTTCCCTTCTTTCCTTCTTTTTCCTTCCTTGCTCCCTTTTCATCTTTCCTTCTTTTTCTTTCTTTCCTCTTTCCCTTCCTCCCTTTTCCTTTTTCTTCCCGCTTCATTCTCCTTTCGTCTTCCTTCCCCTCTTTCCTCCTTTTTCCTTCCTTGCTCTCTTCCCATCTCCCCTTTGTCTCTTCTCTTTCCCTTTCTCCTTTCCTGTCCCTTCCTGCATGCTCAAATGCTAAAGGGAAAACATTTCTCCTTTTGTTTTGTTTTTTTAGGTTGTTTTGCTAGCCCTCTGCCAGCGGAAACAGAGCTCGCAGCCCCGTAGACACGAACCTCCCTCGAACTCCGTTTTCGCTGGTAGAGGGCTGCCGAAGGCCATTGTGGCTGAAAACGGAGCCCTGGTGGCTCCGCGCATGGCTCTTCCCGCATGGCTCTCCCAAGCTCCAGTCCTTTGCTGTTTCTGGAGTACCTCCATGGGTCAAATCTAAGCACCCCGCCAGCCGAATCCAAGCCACTGGCCTTGAGTTTGACACTCTTGAATTAATTGTTCTCACTGTCAGGAAATTTGTCCTAAATTCTTAAGTTGCTTCTCTCCTTGATTCGTTTCCTTCCGTTGTTCCTTCTCCTGCCTTCTGGTGCTTGGATTGGGTTGACTTCCTGCTTCTTTGGGGGGAACCCCTCAAAATAGTGGAACACTGCTCTCATGTCACCCCCCCCCTACCCTTTTCATTAAAAGAAGACCACCACCAAACGAAACAGTGCTGGTGTTCGTTGTGTACATTGAATTTCCTTCCTTTTTTACAGCTGCTGCCGATTCCCGATTCGGTACCCATATCTCCGGACGACGGGGAACACGCCGATATTTACAAGCTCCGCATCCGGGTGCGGGGGAACTTGGAGTGGGCCCCCCCACGCCCGCAGATCATCTTCAATATCCATCCAGCACCAACGTAAGGAGGGCCGCTTGCCGTTTGTGATGTTTTGTGTCGTTGTGTGTGTGTGTGTTTGTGTGTCACCCCAAGAAGCTCATTGGTGTCCTGATGAAGTTCTGCTTAAAGCAAAAGAAAGTGGGAAGAAATTTCTGGGAAATGAAGAATCGAACCAATTTAAGAAGTTGTTTTATTCCCGTGTCCACCCAGTTCTCCAGGTATTTCTAATGAAACCTGGAATAGCTAAAATAAGATAAAGGTTCTCCTCACACATATGTGCTAGTTGATCCTGACTCTAGGGGGCGCTGCTCATCTCTGTTTCAAGGCCGAAGAGCCAGCGGTATCCGAAGACGTCTCCGTGGTCATGTGGCCGGCATGACTAAACGCCGAAGGTGCATGGAACGCTGTTCCCTTCCCACCAAAGGTTGTTCCTATTTTTCTACTTGCATTTTTTTACATGCTTTCGAACTGCTAGGTTGGCAGAAGCTGGGACAAGTAACAGGAGCTCACTCTGTTACGTGGCGCTAGGGATTCGAACCGCCGAATTGCCGACCTTCCTGATCAACAAGCTCAGCGTCTTAGCCACTGAGCCACCGCTTTCCCTCATGGTTAAAATAGTGGGTCTTAAAGTTTCCTCTTTATGTAGACTATAAGTAGAGAGGTCAAGAGAGGAATCAGCCTAGAATCCCTACGTGGCCACAAGAAATGACTTAGGATCAGTTCACTTAGTGATAGCTCAAAGTTACAACCTACCTGAAAGGTGTCAGGTGTGAAAGGCCAGGTCCCTTGTGAAGGTCCAATTACAGTGATTTATTGCTGAACGGCCTGCATGCAGGCATCTTCCCAACTGACGGTCAGCTCCTCCTTGGTGTTAGATAAGGGGCCATGAAATTCAAGGGATGTTGAACTTGGTCTGCTTGTGGCTACGTAGCGATTCTAGGCCGATTCCTCTCTTGACTCCTTCCTCTGGGAAGTTGGACTAGGTCTGCTTGTGGCTACGTAGGGATTCTAGGCCGATTCCTCTCTTGACTCCACCCTCAAGGAAGTTGGACTAGGTCTGCTTGTGGCTACGTAGGGATTCTAGGCTGATTCCTCTCTTGACTCCACCCTCAGGGAAGTTGGACTGAGTCTGCTTGTGGCTACGTAGGGATTCTAGGCTGATTCCTCTCTTGACTCCGCCCTTGGGGAAGTTGGACTAGGTCTGCTTGTGGCTACGTAGGGATTCTAGGCCGATTCCTCTCTTGATTCCGCCCTCAGGTTTTTGCCAGTCCTTTTCCTACACATCTCCTTTCTCTGATTCTCCCTCCCCCTCTCATCTCATCAGGTGTGAAAGACGAGGTCCACAAGGGAAGTTTTAATTCAATTGATTTATTGCTAAAAGCCTACTCACGGGAATCTTCTCAACTAACGGTCGGCACCTACTAAGAGTTATCTAAGTGCCAACAGCACTCAAGGGATTTCGTTTGCTCGCAGCTACTTCCTCTCTCAGCTGATGCCTCAAACCTTGACCCATCCCACTTACCACGTCGATTGCTGAGGTCTCCCCTCGTGCCTCACCTCTTCCAGGCTGAGAACTGAGTTGGGAACTTGAGCTTTCGCCTCTTTTAACGTCCTGCGTGTCTCTTTCTCCAGGAGGAAGGCAGCAGTGGCCAAGCAGAACTACCGCTGTGCTGGCTGTGGGATCCGGACCGATTTCGGTGAGTCCTTCCTTGACTTGGATGAGTTCTGAAGGCCCAACATTGGCCTAGAGCAGGGGTGTCCAATTGGATTTCTGGGAGGCCCCGATCGGCATTGTGGTTGTGAGATTAAAAACCCAATTATTAAATCCTCACAACACAGAGACAGGCCTGGTTCAAAATTGAAAACAGGTTTATTTACAGAAAATTAAAGAGCGTTTGCAAAGGCGGTCAAGTTTCCTCCCAAAGGGATCGAGCAAAGAGTAGCGTCCAAACAATACTTTTTATACATTCTACTCCTAAGAAACTCTCCTCCTCCTGCTCATCTATTTACGTCATTTATTTTGTCATCCTATACCCTAAAGCAGGAGTGTCCACGCCTGGACACCCCTGCCCTAAAGGGTCAACTTGACCATAAATTGAGAGGCCCCTATCTCTTTCTGGTGCCTTTCGTCTGAGCAGATGACTTCCTATCTAACTTGTACGTAGGCTTGGAATAACAAAGGTTATCTTGTGCCTGTTTACTGAACACAATTTGTGGTTAGCAAAAGCACAGTAACCTATTACACATTGTAGGCAAGAATATAATGGCTTATACGTTTAACATTGCAAAAGAATACAAAAGTAACCTTTTAACGTTTTATAAAAGAATAACTTAAGATCATTTCCTTCATAGTTGCCCTCTGCGGGCTGGCGAGAGGGGGAGATGGTTTGGGCGGCTTCCTGCAGCACCCTGCTGATCAAAATGAGCTGCGGGGCGCCCCTGCATGGCTCGTTTTGGCCACCAGGGTGCTGCAGGAGGCCGTCCATGCCGAAAATGGGCGGTGCACACCCACACCCCCGGCGGCCCCCTATGGTCTGTTTTTGCTAGCAGAGGTCTTGCGGACCGATCTTTGCTTTTTCCAGGCTGGCCCCGCAGGCTGGATCTAAGCACCCTATGGGAGGGATCCACCCCGCAGGCCTTGAGTGTGGCACCCCTTGTTCTGACCGAAGCTTCCCGAGAGCCTGAAGCAGACTCCTTGTCCCGACAAAAAACCCTTTTATTAATTTATTGTAAATTCTGCTCCTTCACATCCAGCAAAGTCTTTCAAGGGAGGATTTACGGTCACAGACCTTCTCTGGCTTGGAGAGCTGCCACGTTGATCTCTGCAGAACTTGGCAAGGAGCCTCGGAGAGTCACGAACCAATTAAGCGAACTAATTGTCTCCTGCAAACTCCACTCCCCTTTTGCCCCTCTTTTATTTCCTCTGGGAGGGGCCATTCATTGTCCCCCCACTTATGACTGCTGCAGCATCCCTGTGGTCACATAGTCGAAATTCAGAAGCTTGGTAGCTGACATATTTACGACGGTTGCAGTGTCCCGGGGTCATGTGATCCTTTTTTTACGACCTTCTGACAAGCAGAGTCAACGGGGAAGCCAGATTCACTTAACAACCTGGTTACTAATTTAAGAACTGCGGCGAATCACTTAACAAATGTGGCGAGAATAGTCGTAACATGGGACAAAACTCACTTAACCAACTTAGCAACACAGATTCTGGGCTCAAGTGTGGTCATACGTTGAAGACTACCTGTATAGCAATCCGTGCAGGTGAAAAGCCACTAGCCCTACCTGAACAAGGTACCTATGTGCTGTGAATTCACAGGTGGCTCTTCAAAACTGTTTCCAATTTAGAGATTTTCAAAGCTGTGGTAACTTCAGACAGCGAATGAACAGTCGTAAATTGAGGACTACATGTAAAAATGGAGTCGCACCTAGGCGGGCAGATCCCTTAGTGCCAGAGTGTCAACTAACAAAGCATCCCTGGCCTGCCCTCGATGGTGGGGAATGATCTCTACAACCCCGAAATTACTCCATTGGTGAATGTGATTGATGACACAACCTGGGGGGAGGAGGAAAACAGGTCATAATTGGGCCTTAAATTACATGGGATCAGAGCTGGCTTCACTTGGGAACGTGCCAGCATGAAGCGCCTAATAAAGAAACTGGATTTCTTTTGAAGCTTGGCTCGAGGCTCATGATTTAATTAGGGCACCCTTTGGAACCATGACAGCAAGCCAGCTCTGACCCCACGTAATTTAGGGCCCCAATCATGACCCTGGGACAAAGCCTTGAGAGAGATAAGTCTGGTACGTGCATCTGTCTTTGGCTGCCGTGCCGTTACATCGGTTTCCCATCCCCCCTTTCCTATGGCAACTCGAGAGCAGGGCAGGGATGCTTTACGAGTTGACACAGAGCTTTCGTCAAACTCTACCTAGATTCTAGAACATTCTGAGGTTGATCCTCAGTCCCCAACACTTACCGGAGTCGAAACGCTCTGCCTACAAATCACTGCTCTCTTAAGTTCCCTTTCTCTCTCCCTTCGTCGGACGGGCCGCCAGATTACATCAAGCGGATGCGCTACTGCGAGTACCTGGGCAAATACTTCTGCCAGTGCTGCCACGAGAACGCCCAGATGGTCATTCCCAGCCGCATCCTTCGCAGGTGGGACTTCGGCAAATACTACGTCAGCAATTTCTCCAAGGACCTGCTGCACAAGATCTGGAACGATCCGCTCTTCAACATGCAGGACGTTAACTCGGCCCTCTACCGGAAGGTCAAGCCTCTCAACCAAGTCAGGGTAAGCAGACATGTGGGGCTTGGTGCAGGGGTGAAATTCAGCAGGTTCTGGAGAATTGGTAGCAGAAATTTTGAGTAGTTCGGAGAACCGGAAACTATCACCTCTGGCTGGTCGCAGTATCCTTCCCCTGGAGTGGAGAGGAAATGGGGATTTTGCAGTATCCTTCCCCCAGGAGTGGGGAGGAATATCTCAGGGGCTGCCCCAAAAAAGAGGGAGTCAAGCTATTCTCCAAGGCACCTGAGGGTAGAACAAGAAGCAATGGGTGGAAACTAATCAAG